GCCGAGACTTGGCGAACACGCCTTCACCGTCAGAAGGCTGCCAAGAGTGTTCACAGGAGTCGCAAAGTTGTGAACGAGAAAACTCATTGAGATTCAATGTTCACAATTCAAAAACACTTTGTCCTTGGCCTAAAAGTAAAAAAAATAAAACTTTATAGCGTATGTAGTTCATAGTAAACTTCAACCTAAAATCATATGGAATAAACGGTTATATAAGGAAACGAGATCCATCTCTACAGTATAATGATCAGCTAAGGGATTTATTATAATTTGACTCACTTTTTTCATTAAAGGGGATTCGAAAACCAATTTGGAGATATTATTAGAACTTTTGAAATCGTTCATTCCTTCGGTTCAAAAAACCATTAAAAATGAGGGCTTTTTTCAAAGTTTGATAGGCATACGCAATAGTTTAATGATTTTCACTCATGGAGAGAGGTTTTTTTAGTTGATGGGATAATCAATAATTTAAAGAGTTTCACTCAATTACTTCTTTTTCTTATCTTTCCAATGAGGATATCCATGAATATTGATAAAATATTCTGTTGACTTCTGTTGACTTTCACAACCGTACTAAACGTTTCAAGCATGAAAAGATTGCTTAAGATATTTATTCCACTTCGCTACTTCTGAGCGTTCAAAATGTAAACACCTTTGACAAACTATATGACATGCTAAACTAATGCAAGGAATGGCAAATTTTTGGATTTGGAGTGCGGAATTTGGCGCACCAGTTGAACTGACGTGCTTTGCGAGACAACAACTCAATAAATACCAATTAATTCTTTACTCTGTTGTTGGATGTTGGCAAGCAATTGTCCTAATATGTTGATTAGGGAAATAGTGACATTTGGAGTTGCACTGCAGCTGTGAATCCTTTCAAGGTACTGATGCTCTGTATTTTTTTTTTGCTCTAGGCTTCCGAAAAGGAACACAAATGTTTTCATTTTGAAATGACAAATTGGAGGGAAAGAACGCGTACCCGCTGCCGTTCTAAGCGTTCATCCTAGAACAATTTTAATATTTAACAAATGGTTCTAAGGAAGTAGTGACATAATCAGTGAGTGTTCGCCGAGTAGGTTATCTTGGAGATTCGACATCAGCCTTTTATGTAAGCTTTACGAAGTAGGTTGCTTCAAGCAAGAAACTACGACGATTATTTTGAAGAGCACATCTCATATCAGATTTAAGCAACATTAGTCAAACCATTGCTTGACTAAGAAAACAATGTGCACTACAATCTTAGAGAGATACTAGAAGTGCAGAAAGTTGCGAGCGTATCGAAGCTCGTTCCCCGCCCCCTCCCCGACGCCAAGTACGTGAGCCTACGATTTTTTGTGATTAGTCAATGCATCTGAATGCTTAGATGTATCTTGCATAACACTTTCAAGATAAAATCATTTCCCTTCGTTTCTTCAAATGTGATCGATATGGATGCACAAAAATAGGCTGTCTTTGCCCTACAATTATGCACTGTTAATTCGTATGAGCAACTGCTCCGCTTCAACGTATTCTTTACAGAAACTATGTGTGTTTACACGATTCTGTTTGAGGAGTCTGATAAAGATTGAAGCACTTCACTTTAAAAATGACTTATTTTGGCCAAAAATTCGCAAATCAATGCCATCAGACCACTGACCACCGTATAGTGTGGCCTACGTTGCGTCTGAAATGTGTGTGTGCGTAGTGTGGGCTTATCAGTTCAGGAACAAAAATTAGTGTCAGAATCAGAACAGACATACATATACATACATTCATACGTACATAAATGCATACCACACAGGCATACACACAATATTTGATTAGCAAGATTGAAGAAGCTCCTGGACACTTCAAAATACTTCTGTGCGGATTTTCCGCATTTTTAAGGAATCCGCGAGACCCCATTGATTACACAGCCTGAGCATAGTTGCGCTTCTAGCAAGTCGTTTGATTTGTGGCCCTTAAAGGCGGAATAACGTGAGTTATGTCGTTCATTCAGTTGTTTGCAACTCTACAACCCATTACGGTAGAATGGACAGACAAATTTTTGTCCAAACCTGAATCTCTCTCTCTCTCTTTGCTTTTTGAGTGACAAGAATGATAATTGTAATAGGCGTAATAACTTTGAAAGAGGTGTTGCGAAGAACATTCTAATATTACAGTTTTCAATCAAAGTATTCACATTTGCAGCTCGTTCTGTGAGAGACAAATACTTACTTGGTTTTTGATGATGAGTTAAACCTTGTATTGAAAGGAGCTAAGAAAAACTGTTCCTTAACAGGAATGCCGAACTCACTTGATGTTCTTTTTTTTTCTTAAATGAAAACATTGCTTGCAGCACATGCCAGCGCTATAAAAGTTGGTCTAGTATAGATGGAAACGCTAGCAATCATGAGCTTAATTCCAAATTACTGAGTGGAACAAACGCTCAAAAAATAGAATTTTCATATAGCCA